AGCTGCACCGTCTGGACATTCTTCCGTCTCTTCCACTGCCTAGACAAGACATCCCATTGCGTAGGTGTAGCGAGGATCAGGTCACCAGCTTCAAGGATTTTGAGATCTGCAGCAGTTTCGCCAGTCAACTTCACAATTTCTTTTCCGCCGCCCAAGTGGCCCAGTCTCTTTTGCCAGTCTTGGAGCCGAGCGTCGACAAGCTCCTGGAAAGGAGCGATATAAACTGCTCGACCGGCGTCACCTTGCGCCCAGTGCCGCAGGAGGGCGAATTCGGCACACACCGTTTTACCACTCCCCGTTGGGGCGCCGATGAAGACATTCTGATCTGTCTTATACAGCGAGTTAAAGGTCTGCGTTTGGATCTTGTTGAATTGTCTCCAATCTGGATAGAGATCCACGTAGTCTTGAACTTTGAGCGCCGACACAAGAAGGGGTTGAAGGTCAAGAAGCTCCGTGTGAGGGGGAAACTTTTCGGGCAAGATAAGCTTGTGGAAGGGAACAGCCAACCTGGTCTCTGAATGCATCCATCTGTCTGAGATGACTGAGACGAAGTAGTTGGGAGGCATAGGGTCTGTGATGGGGACGGTAAAGTCCACAATGTGTTCGTTTGCTTCAGATTCGGCGTAATCTTTGCGCAGAAGGAAAGTGTCGTGATATAAAATGTCTTCGCCGTCACAGTCCTCGACAATGATCCAGAAGCTCTCGGCAGCGCCATGAACGCTATCATCCCACTCGAAATTTGGAGTGATGCTGAGCTCGACTCTGAGCATCGATCTGGTCATGGGCTGAACTTGTGCTTGAACATCGACCCTGGGGAACTTGGCGACCAGCCCACAGACGGTACGGCCTGCCTTGGGCATGCCCAACAGCTCGCCCATTCTCGGAGGATCAAGATCAAAGTAGTTGCTCCACGAGACGTCGATTCTTTCTGCTTTCTGGACGATATCGCGCGGGCAAGAGGGGAATTGACGCAGCGGTGACATGGTGGGCCACATTCGCTTTTCTGCCATCTTGCACAGGTCTAGGGCAGTCTTTGCAACCGACGACCAGCCCTTCTTGAGCGTGATCTCGAAGATGGCCCTCAAGATTCGGCCGGCACTTTGCGTGACGTATACCATGTCTGCCATGAGAGCCAGGCCGTCGAGCTTCAAACGAGAGATGTAAGCCTGAAGCAGTACATTGATTTTGGCGTGTGACTCTTCGATGCTTTCTTTGACAGGGATCGGCACTCTGCCCATCAACTTCGCGAGCTCCAGTTTCTCATCTTGACGGACGGGAATGTATTTGAATTCAGCACTAAGCGCGAATACCCGGAAGAGCTCGATGGTTGTAATTGAGGGCTGGATGAGATTATTATAGGTGTCCATGGAGCTAGAGGTGATGTAGTAGTGGGAGGCAATACGACCCAATTCGGTAGATTGAATCCTGCCTGTCTTCTCGTCATATTTGATGAGATTAGACTTCCTCAGAGCCATTGCCGCAGAATGTATGAGGTCGACACGCTTCTGTTCCAACGCCTCATCGTCCTCATATTCTGCGCCTACTTGATACAACCCTGGAGACCGAAGCATTCGGACAAAGAGGTATGTGTATCCAAGCCACTCGACACCTTCATCTCGAGTTCTCACATTGCCAAGTACAACTTCGGCATTGAGATTATCCACCAATTTGCTGACAAACTGACTCTCAATGGGAAGCTGCTGGTTGAGAAGCGAAAGGTAGTACTGAATTTCACTTTGGGTGGTAATAATGATGCCTTCTCCGTAAGTGTCAAACTGCGGTCGACCTGCACGACCGAGCATTTGGAGGACATCTTGAGGGCTAAGCTCAACCCAGCTACCCTTCTCTGGAGAGTAGATTTGTGTACCCTTGATAATGACGGTGTGGGCGGGCAAGTTAACACCCCAAGCAAGAGTGGCAGTAGACACAAGGACTTGAATGGCACCTCTGGCAAACAAATCCTCGACATCGGTTCTGTCTATTCGGTTCATGCCAGCGTGGTGGATACCAAAACCATATGGTAAGATATCCTTGAGGTCCTGGTCGGTTGCCTGGCTCGCAGCTTCAGCCAAGACCTCACGGCTACCGGCGTCGTGTCGAAGAATTTGGTTGATGGTCTCCATTTCCAAAGCCTTGTCTCGAATATACCGGGCCGTCTTTGCGGTCTCTTTACGAGAGTGGACGAAGATGATCATCTGGTTTCGGTGAGTGCCGACATGCTCAATGACTTTGTTGTAGGTGACATCGTTCATCGTCTTGAGCTGCTTGATCGCTTTGCGATCAGTGACGCCAATGAATTCCTGGCGCAGGGGACACGGTCGGAAGGAACCATCAAAGTGGAACATGGCCTTCTTGGTGTCGACGCGGAGGAAGCTGGCAACATCTCGGTAATTGGGAAGCGTTGCAGACAGGCCGACAATTCGTACAGGCTCTCCAGTCTGTTCTGTTTTGCGAATAGTTCTGCTGACAATGCTTTCCAATACTGGACCACGGTCATCATGGAGCAGATGAATTTCGTCAATGATGATCAGGCGCACCAGGTTGGTGTAAGATGTATCAGTTGCCTTGCGTGTGATGACGTCCCATTTTTCAGGTGTGGTCACGATAATCTGGGTTTCTGCGATTTGTTGCTTAGTGAGCTGGCGATCACCAGTCAGCTCAGACACGCGGATTCCATATGGCTCAAGGCGCTTTCCAAAGTTGCCAACTTGCTCTTGAACGAGAGCCTTCAGGGGAGCAATGTAGACGATTTTGAAAGCATCGAGATCAATGTCGCCGGTCTCTGGGTTCCGGTTCTTGCCGAGTTCTCTCAAAATAGTCAACATGGCCACGTTTGTTTTACCACTACCTGTCGGGGCACAAACAAGCATGTTGCCATCATCCTCAAAAGCGGTTGGATAACATTTGGATTGAATCTTGTTCAAGGATTTGGCCGTGCTGAAGGGCATCCGTGACCATTCGGGCATGTCAGTGATAGGAATGAGAATGTCATCCGGATCATTTCGTTTCTTCGGAGCAGGTACGTGAATCTCTTCGTAGCCCTTGAAAGATCTCTTTGTCGATCCCTCTGGTAGCCTGACTTTGGCGTTGGTCATCAGGTGGTTTCCTTGGTCAAAAACCAAGTTGTCCAGGTTGATGAGCCTCTTCGGCTGCAACCCGCCCACCAGTTGCCCTTCAGGTCGTTCAGTCTTGGGTCCTTCTGCGGTGAAAGATGCGGGAACATCAATGTCCATTTTGATAGCCCCCTTTCCTCCTTTCTCCCCGTCTGCTCCAGACTTGCCGCGCAGCTCGTTGAGAATCCATTGCAGACCCTCCGAAGCCATTTCCCTTTCGACATTGGCACGCTGTTCCGCATCTGCTGCTCTGGCAAGTTTTGTGAGCCAGAAAACCTTTTCTCTATTTTGAACCAGCTTTTGGACAAGCTCGTGATGCTCGAAGTCGAAGAGCTCCATCAGATCGTTTTCAATCTCTCGGAGTGATTTCTCTTCGCCGCCGACCTCGTCAGGCTCTCCGGAGAGTATACGCAAGGCATCCTTCGTTTTATCTGTTTGCTCGTGCGCGTCTGGGTATAATGTGCCAATTTGGCGCTGTAACCAAAAGGCATCCACATCTCGCGCGAGTATAGAGGCCTTGTCGTCCTTCTTGTGCTTATCCCCAGAGGGTGCTGAGTCGAGGATCATTTCGTCATCTGCTTCCCCGGCATCCTCGTCTGCCTTTGCTGCCCCTTCTTCTTCCTCCTCTTCGTCTTCGTCTTCTGAAGACTCATCTCGAACTTCATTGACAATTTCATCCTCTTCGTCGTCTTCGTCAAAGGCAACAGCCACACCCTGCCGCTCGTCGATTTCCGCGTCATCATCGTTGTCACCTCCCATGTTAACATCTTCATCATCGTCTTGAGCATCGTAATCTGTAATCTTCTTTCCCAAGTTGATCAGTTCGTTGAATTGCTTGGGATTCAGAGTTGTGCCGAGGATATCGTCGATTTCCTTCTTCTTGTCCAAATCTTTCATATCGTCGTCTTTCAGATATTCCAACGCAGCATCTGCAGCACTTCGCACGACATCATGGGGCACATCGCCGAGATTATTCGCCACAAGAGTCAAAATCAGGTCAAAGGTCGCCCGTGTCGCAGCGGTTCGAGGTCGATATGTGATGCCTTCGATCAAGGTGTCATTTGTACCGAGAACACCAGCCTGTTGCGCATCAGGCCTTCGCTTTCGCTGCTCTCTTATCAATACGTCCTGGCCTTCCTGAAGACTCCCTCGCTCAATGTCGGGCATTCCAGGTTGCTTCTTCTGCTTTGGAGCTTCGTCACGAGCCACTCTAGAGCCCATGTCGTTGATACTCAGGCGCCCAGCAAGAGACTCTGGATCACCCGTGGCCTCGTCAGTTCGTCTTGTGACAAACCGACGGTCCGCCTGGAGAACCAGGTTGGACATGGCCGAGTACTTGTACTGGGAGACATCGCGATGAGGGTCCGACATCGTGACGGTTGTGTTTGAGGATTAGGATTAAAGAGAGAAGAAAGAGAGAGAACGTCGATGTCCTCGACAAAAGCTCGATGAGCCCAGCCTCTACTTCACCATGTGCTTGCCACCCAGACAAAGGGAATCGTATCGAAACGGAGGGCAGCTGCCTAGGCGTCTCAGCAATGTGAAGTCGCTGAATTGGCTGAAGCGATGCCTAGACTCGGTCGCGATAAATTTCCTGAGCCAACATCTTCTGCCTTGGACGCGCCAAGTAGCAAATAGTTAGTGCAATGCGCCACACCAGAATTGCTTTTGAGCCACATTGTGGAGCCTTGGACTGCCGAGCCAAGCTCACGCTGTGGCCCCCTGTATTTAGCAGCCCAAGCAGCTGTTGATAGGCTGGCTACCTACTACTAGTAGCTGGAGGTACTCCTGAGCGCAGGCGGTACATGCCCAGCTATAAGGCGGCGTATGCAGCCCAACGTCGATGCTGGCATCAATATCAAGTACAATGAATATCAACACATCAACATGCCTGACCATCAGCCGGAATTCCTGATTAAATTTCAGAAGCAACTTGAGCCATATATCAAGCCTCGAGAACAGGTCAATTATATAAGGCGCGTCCTAGCTCTTCACCTCGGATCTTGTGCCGGCAATGGCGCCATCCAGAGTCCTCTGTTCCTCGTCGACGGCTCACAAGAAGTCACCATGCCACCAGACTTGACCGGCGTATTCAGGGAATATGTCGAGGCTCTTCAGGCTAATACGGCAGCACGGCGTCAGTTTGATTGTCTCTTGAAAAATAATACCCCTGAAGAGCCCGAGCCGCCAAAGCCAAAGGCAAACAGCATTGATATGATGGAGGAACGAATATGTCTTTTGAAGCTCCGGCAGAAGCGAGAGAGTCTGCTCGCAGTTCGACAGTCTCTGGATCTTCTCATGGAAAAACCTGCTGCAACCCGTGAGTTTCTAGACGCCAAGCACATCTTTCAAGGCAGCCCCGGAGTGCCAAGTGCACCGGACGATGTTATCAACGGCCTCGCAGTTGATCAGAGCTCTACTCAGTCAGGCCTCAGTGATCGAATTCAACAACTGGAGAAGACGGTTCTGAGAGCAAAGCTGCTGTTAAAGCAGGAGGAACAGACGGTGCGAGAGACGAGAGCCCGATCCAAAAACCAGTTTGACATGGTCAGCAATGGTGCTCGGGTGGAAGCGTTGACCACTACTCGCAATGAACTCATCACTTGGATCGAAAATGAGCTTGGCAAAGCTTCTCCTGGGGCAAGCTCAGGGGCCAAAAGCGGTAGTCATACGTCCAGGGTCAGCCCATCAACAATTGCAGCCAATCTTGAAGAGATTAGCAAAAAGTACGCCAAATACGTGTTCTCGAGGAAGACTCTGTTGGAGATGGAAACGCAGCAATCTCAGCTATCCCAACCATCGCATCCAACGCTTCTACCTCCAGCACAGCTGGTTGCTGGCTTGGACCGAAGCAGTAACAAGCCTCCAATCCCTATTGACCACCTTCTTACCCCTTACTTGAGAGCCCTGGCTGCTATTTCTGTCAGTCAAAAGGCAGCCATCAGCCAGAAAGCCTTCTTCACATCAGCACTGTCCAAGCAGAACCAGGATGCTTGCCAACTACTCGGTCGTCTAGGCGAAGAGAGTCACCTGCTGCCCGCCTATCCAATGAAAGACTCTCTACGCCGGCGGTCTGGCATACAGACGGAGATAGCCTCAAAGTCTGAACATCCTGATATTTCCAAGAGGATCAAGCCGTGGGTATTTGCCGCCGATTCGGCCAAGATTGCGCTCCTCGAATACGCCGCAGAAACTGTCGATATTGGACAAGTAGCACTCGAAAATTGCCTGGAGAATCTTAGGGAAATTGACTTCCTCTTGGGCTATCCTGAAGAAGGGGAGGAGTCCGGCGAAGTTTCTGAAAGACAATCAAAGGCTGGAACGAGGCTTGGATCACAGAAACGTACGTCAAAGAATAGTATCACAGACGATGGGCACGACGTTTGGTCTAGACTACATGGAAATCTAGGAGTGCTCAGAGATGCTGCTTGAAACATGCCTTTAGCGATGTTTATTATGCCTCTGTTCAATATATCTCAGTCATACCTGCACATCTCTGGTAAAAAGTACAAACGCCGTTTAGCTAGAATAAGACATGGTGATCCCAACTCCGCATATTTGCCCCCTTCCCCCGTTAAAATTATCGTGTCACTTTTCAGACATGATGGCAGATATCCTCATTGACAAATCAAGAACCGATAGATGCTCGTCTGCTCCGTCAACGAGCCGCTTATCCACTTCAGAGAAAACAAGAACAATCTTGTTCTTTTGGATATCTGGAATGGTCTCGTCAAAGACGAGTTCTTGGTAGAGCTACACCAGCAAGGTTAGAATGATGTTGTTAAGCACATGTAAAGTGGAGATACTTGCCTGGTTTACGACCTGGCCAGCACTCCAGCCGTCTGCTACCAGGTCCTCAACCACCTTAGATATGGACTGATACGTCTCTCCTGACGACTTTGGGCGCATAGCCTTGACGAGATCGTCAACGGTTGCTCCAGGGATCACACCAGCAATGTCTTCAACAATTTTGACAGTAACCGGTCGCTTGTCTACATCCATGGAATCATCGCCATCGCTGTCCTTTTCCGAGAGTTTCGCCCCAACCAGTCGAGCAGCACTCTGCAGAAATGTAATAGCTTTTCGTAGATCACCCTCGCTACACTTGATGAGTGCATCCACGGCACCATCTTCTAGCGTAACGCCCTCTGCCTCTGCTATTGACTCGAGTCTCTTCTTTGCGTTGCTCTGATCCAAGCTCTTGAACCGAAATTTACTGCATCGACTCGCCAGAGGGTCAATGATTCTAGTAACATAGTTGCATATCAGGCAGAAGCGTGTAATTTTGCTGTACGTCTCCATTGTCCGTCTCAGAGCGCTCTGGGCATCTTGCGTCATGGAGTCGGCCTCGTCAAGAATGATGATTTTGAACGGCGGACAGGGGTATTTGTCTTTGTATGAAGGCGGTGGGTTGGTCAGTTGCATTCGTGCAAAATCTTTGACTTTTTGTCGAACGATTGAAATGCCACGCTCGTCGGACGCGTTGAGCTCGAGAACTCGGGACTTGATCATCTCTGGACCGTAGAGCTCCTTGGCAAGAGCTAGGATGGTAGAGGTTTTGCCAGTGCCCGGGGGTCCGTAAAACAGCATGTGCGGAAGCTTAAGAGAAGGAAGCCATTAGCTTGAATATGCATCTTGAATCCAATTGCGGGCAGATTCCACCAACATTTGAAGCTTGCAGTGTTCTCTGCAGAACCGTGACCGTGTGATCCTGAGCAGTGACATCGTCCAAGCTCTTGGGGCGACTGTGAGGTTATAAATAAGCAAAAAATGCCATCAATGATGCTGTCTGATGGCGAATTGACTGACTATTTCTCAACCCAGGGCTGGGCACGAACGTCTGCTGGCTTGTCCTGCTTCTGCGATGATGTTCCGTTTGTAGCGGCCGCCTTTCTGGCCTTGAGGTCGAAAAAGCTGGCCATGCTTAATGAAGAGAGCCGCACCAGGTGATCGAAGCAGCCAGGCTGTTATTATCAGTGTAGAGATGCCGAATAGCAGCCAGAAGCAATCAAATACTTGGCGGTGCTAATGCGTGAACAGAATATGGGCAGCCAAAAATCCATTAACGCGTCAGTCTTAGGCGCGAGGCGCGTAGCCCAAAAAAGACGGCAAGGCTGATGAACCCCGCGACCCAGTGCATGAATCTCGCTGCTGTTCAGGCCCGTAGCGTGACCCCACCTTGTACCTCTTGTGCAGTAGTGATGTGAAGCTGGATTGTGGTCGGATGTGTGCAAATGCAGCCCAATTTGTGGCTTTGTTCAAGACGTTGCGTTGGAGGCATCACCCGACGGGATTTTGCCATTTCCAATGGATGTCATTTTTAGCTGTCATAGTCTCACTAGGTAGAGGCAAGTATATACCTATGAATACACGGACACACACACACACACATAGAGAGAGAGAGAGGCGTCAATTAATACTGCAGGTGGACTCTTATCTGTTAGTATTTGGCTGCTGATAGAGGTACTAAGGCATGGCATGGGTATCGGTATTCCCTCGAGCTACAGCTAGGTACTTACAGCTAGGTACTGAGTGGTAAGATCCATCCATGCCAGCACGGCAGATTATGTACGGCCCTCCGCTCGGTGCGTCCTCACCTACCCTAAATAGCCTGTAGTTGGTGGCTGACCGTTAAACGTCCGATAGAGTTTCCCTCCATGGGAATTAATCCTGCTCACCTACCGCATCAGTCCATGTTAGCTGGAGGAGTCTTTGAAAAGCCCCGACAGCACTCCAGCCTCTATAGGTTAGCAGCTGAATATACAACGTCCCCGCCTGCATGTAAGTACCCGCTGGGCCGGGCGCTCGAGGCCCTCCGATGAGGCGTTCGGTGGCACGCATGTTTGCATCAACCTTCGTCGTTGCGATGCGATGCTCGGGCTTTCCCTTTTTCTCCTCTTCCCCCAGTAGCTATGGAATCAATGCTGTGGGGTGGCTCTATTCGTCCAACATCCTCCATCCCATCCTTTGGCTTGTCGAGTGCCATTCGTCCCGCCTCTTGCTAGATCCTCAGGCCAGCCAGCCTACAAGGCAGATACCCGCTAACTTTGATTCACTTGGGCCAGCCAACCCCTCCTTGCCCAAACAGGCTTCTGCCACTTGCAAGGCATTAATTCACCAAACTGAAGTGCATCCGCTGGCATAACTCAGCCCTTTGCATATAAAGATTCCCGCTGCCAGAGGCTGCCTTGCACTTCAATTCCCCCGTTGGCTGCCTCTTGCGGAAGCTCATCCTGATATTCCCCATCACAGCGCCTCGCCTCTAAGCCCTCCATATCGAGGCCAACGTCATGGATCAATCCATCATCCGCATCTCCAAGGTTTGGCCGCTTCACAAGTCGGTTTGCAGGCGTCACATGGCTGATCAGCGCTACCCATAGGAGCTCAGCGACATCCAGAAGGGATCAGATCTGGGTACGTGGCTTTGGTCTCAACCCGGCCTTGGTATCTACCAGATGACTTGGTGCTAACCGACATTTGCTTGCCATCACAGCCATTGCTGTCGCTTGCCGTGATGTCGACGTTCGTAATGTCAGGGCTCTGATCATGGGCCCGCACGAGACTCCCTATGAATTTGGGTTCTTTGAGGTAAGCTTATGGCAGGGCCTAGCAGATATTGGGTGGCATCGCATAGCCGAATACTGTGCTAATACCGCAGTCAAGTTTGCAATCAGGTTCAACAGAGGTGAGGCCCAACGATCCCCTCCATGCAGCTAATTACACACAAAACGCTAACAAAAATAAGACTATCCTTCAAAGTCCCCCAATGTTCAGGGCATTACGACGAATGGAGGGCGCTGTCGATTTAACCCCAATATCTACTCAAGTGGCAAAGTTTGTCTGTAAGTACACACAGTTTATTCCTGCTCACTTGCTGCCTACTAATATTCTGAAAGGTCGATCTTAGGGTATTTTCTTCTCTCTCCCCCCCCGAGTTGCCCAATTTATACGGTAATCTCAAGTGAAATGCTGACATGTCGATAGCACATGGAGAGGGGAGCGCGGTGAAGAATGGTCATCAGCGCAGGGGCTCGAGTCGATATTGTTATCAATACAGAGCTTAATGTCAGCAAACCCTTATGAAAACGAACCTGGGTTCGAGAATGCGAATGAAGCATCCGATAAACAAGCTCAAAAGCACTACGTCCAAAAGGTACTGATATCGGTGCCATTCATTCCGCACCCGAGTTGGATGTGACTAATTTACCTGCAGATACGACACGAAACTTTGAGGATCTCTGTTATTCAACGTCTCGAAGGGTACCTGGGACTGCAACCCAATGGCGCCAGTGCGCCCTCCGAAAGCCTGGATTCCAACGATTTGGACTATGACGAGCAGCTAGAGGAGGCCAACAACCCCTTTGAGCCGTTCAAGGACCTTTGCAAACGTCGGTTTCTTTGGTATTATGATTCATACATGGCTGCTGTGACTCAAAGTAAATCTGAGGTGGAAGTTCTGCAGCCGTTTGTCAGGATGCCCTTCGAGTCCCCGGGGTCCAATTCGATGGATGGCCGTTTCAACTATCCGGAGCTCGAGCGTAGGCTCAAAACCATTAAAGAAACGCTTGATGCGGAAACAAACCGCTGGGCAGAAGAGGGTCTCACATCTAAGGCAGGAGAGTCGACAGTGGCCGTCAATTTGCAGCATCAATTTGACCAAGTGTCGGCTTACCTGAAGCGGGGCGATATGCCGCACAGCGTGGTCCTGGAAAATAATAATCCTTTTGTCTGGTTGATTACATACTTTGGAAGGCCGATGACGAATCTCGATGGGGGACTCTTCCGCATCAGAATGACCTTTAGCACTCGGTTTCCAAATGAGCAACCACGAGTCAAGTTTGAGACAAAGATTTTCCATCATCTTATTGCGGCTGATGGAACGGCATGCTACATCCCTAACCCGATGAGGGTAGAGGACGTCAAGTCTCACATCGACGCCATCTTCGAGATGCTTGAAGAAGATGAGCCAGCATATGACCCAAGGAAGATTGTCAATCCCGAGGCTACTAAGATGTTCTGGGGAAACAAGCCGGAGGACAAGAAGCAGTACAACCGCCGGCTACGGAGATCAGTACAGCAGAGCATGGAGTAAGAAATGGCTTGTCAACTTCTTTTCCATCCTCCTCATCGGACAGCTTCACTGACTAAGTACTAGGGAATTCCCCGAGTGATTGATTATTTCTCTTGAGAACAAAGTAACCATTTAGCGTGCCGTTCTTCACCTGTTGTTCCTGTTTTTCTTCAAGGGTGCATCCTGCGATAAGGCTTTGGCGGCGTTCCAGCAGACCTTTTTTTTTTCCCTTGCCCTTTGTGCTTTGTTTCCCTTTTTTTCTCTTGGACGGGTAGTTGGGCTTTATGGTGCGCCTAGTGACTCATGGGCGTTTTACCTTCATTCGATATTTCTAGATGGCGCTGGGGGAGGGAACAGACCAGACTGATATTACCGCCCGTGGCGTATGACTTCACCATTAACCAACAGCTTGAGAGGGCGTTCATCCCATCAAGTGATGCACTCAAAGCCTATGAGTATGAGACACGTTTGATATGCCGCCATCTTGGTTCACACTGATGCGTCATCACTATCATGTACCCTATTGGAGGGGAAAGGCAACTCTTAGCTATAAAATAGAGTTGACTGGTTCGGTCATTTCTTCTGACAAGCTTGTGCGCCAGCACGATCATCTAATACCCAAACGCCGTAAACATATGCAATCTTCCGTGATGCAGTCCCATTTGTCGTCCATACGTATATCATAATGCCGCAAAACAGAAACAATAGTAAAAAAAAATGTATAACAGATCACCATCCAGTCAACCAATAGCACTCATTTCCTACTCTTCGTCTTCTTTTCAATCTTGTCCTTGAGCGGCGCATACGGAGCTGCCACGCCAGGATATTCTTCTTGCTTGCCATCTCCACCCTTGAACTGATACATGCCTCCAGTCCCAATGGTAGCCGGCGTGCCCTGCGTAGGCCGGCTGACCTGTTCGGCGTGTAGCTTGTCGAGAGATTCGCCGACGACTGCGTACTGCGACCAGTTGATGGGCGGGCAGCGGACCACGTCCTGGGGCTTTGGTATCGGCTGCGCCACCCATGCGCGGGTCGTCTCGTCGTCGGGTTGCGCTCCCTGGCCAACTTTTCCCATGGCCAGGTCGCGGGCGAACTCGTCTGGGTGCTCCACGGCGTCGTTCTTGATCTGGCTGAGGGCCTGGATGTCGGCCATCGCGCGCATCTTCTGCATCTGCAGCACAGTGATGGCGGACTTGAGGGCGATGACGTCGGGGTTGGAGTCGAATTCTATCGGCTTCGAAGGCGGCGGAGGCAGGCCAACTTGATCAGCCTGCGAGTGCGATAGCGTCGAGCGCGCGGGCTGCTGCTGCTGCGCCGCGGCCGCGGGTGGCAGAGGCTCGGCGGCGGCGGTTCTGCCCGTTTTTGCATCGCTGGAGAGCTGTGCCGCGGGCAAGGTGGGCGTGATGGGCGACATGGGAGGCGGCACGGGCGACGAGGGTCGAGAGTCCATGTTTGTCGAGATGGTGAGTGCCGGGGCCATGTTCAGCGCACAATGCGCCGGGCCAGCGGCGAGAATGGCGGCCAGAAAAGGGGGGGAGAGACTGCCTGGCCGATGTTGTAGGGTGGTGTTTTTGATGCGCCGATGCGAAATCTGGTGCGTGGATGATGGGGCGAGAGAGAGAATGGTTTGTTTTGATTCAAGATGAGGCATGGAGTCGACGGGTCGATGTCATTGTCGATGCTGCCTTAGTAAGCTCATGATGCAATCCCTCCGATCTGTCACGGAAAAGGGCCACTGGTGTCTTTGTCAACCCTTGTAAGGATGCTTTCTTGTCTGTATAGTTTCTGTAATTTCGGATGTATTTATTTCAATGTTTGAATTTTCTTGTCGAAAGTAAATGCTTTAGAATCGTGATTTTGGTCTTTCAGTCGTTGGAATACAAGCTCCACTAGGCAACAATATACATGTAGACACTCGAAATAGTTCACTCTGTAAGATATTCGTCTTCTTTCCATCTCTTCAATGTTTCACTTCAGGAGGCTACTACATGTAATTAAAAAGTTAAAAATAATCTACGAGGGGTAACTCATATTCATATATTGCTACCTCCAGCCTGTTTGTGAAATCATGTAGGGTAGCTGTCAATCGTAAGCAGCCAAACTAAGCTCGCCAACAATGCTGTTGGTCTCACTGAGACATTGGGACTAATTAACCCGAATCATTCAAAATAAGACTCTGCATCGCAGCTGAACATATTACCGCAGTAATGCAATAAGACGGGCGTGCGGCTGAAATAAAAAGGCATCATTTACTGAGTACGCCTGGTGTTTACGCGGCTGTTGGGTGAATTGACCGAGGTATCACAGAATGGCTCATGGTTGCATATAGTAGGTGTAACGAGTTCTAGCGATTCGTGCCCAAGGCTCTCTTGGTACTCAGCTTGACTATATAATTGACACATAGAAACAAGATAAATCGGGCTCGAGGGACTCATCATCAATGACTCCTCAGGCCCAAAAAAGCAAAACTCTGCCTAACTGGCAACGGCAACATTCCCGCTGGGATCCCCCGGTTGCCAGCGTTCTAGACCTCCCGTCGGGGAAGCTACTTGCTAGAGCTGAGTAGAAGTGATCGCCCAGCATCTCGATTAACTGCGGGAGCTAACCCACTTCCAAAGCTACAACCCTGTCTCACCAATGTCTCTCACAAGAACCAACAACAGAGCACCTGGTTGCTTGCCATTTCGGATCTCCAAGGCTTCACGACGAGCATCAACCAGCGCGGCGCCATACACGCGTAGTACCTACTATGGTAGCGAGCGGCTGGCCAAGAGGTGTATTAGGTAGTTCTTCAAAGGTTCCTCCAGTTACCTCGCTAGAGTCTAGTACTCAAACCAAGGAATGAAAGTTTGTTCTCGCAGTATTAGTGCGCTCCCAGTATTCTTATCCATGGACGTTAAGACCACTAATCAGAGCGAAAATGACTACTATCACCAAGAACTGCTAGATCGAAAAAAGAAATGTGCACCGCAGAAACCGCAATATAATGACGAAGTGGCTAGTGATGCTACACACCATGGGAAACCTCTTATCCGCGGGTGGACGGCGCTCAACTTTGTTCCCCATTGGAGTGCCGATCTTTGTTTCCCCCAACTCATCCTAAAGCGGGCTTTGTGGCTTCTGCCGGCAACAAAATCGCATCAAATCCTGTTGCCATGGGATCCATCACAACGTGGACGCCACATGATGCTCAGCTGTCGCCGCTAGAAGGTCGCGGATGCAGTCCGAGTATATTGCGCTTCCCTTTTCGAGCTTGTGCTGCATCGTTTTGTAACATCTCGAGGGCAGAGCCACTAGCGGCGTGCATCGTCTGTTAATAGCTTCAATCTTCTTGCGGCACGCTGTGCAGGGAAGAGAAGACGTGAGAAATGACCAACGGCACATCCCCTGCTGTTGGGCAGCCGACTATTGTGCGCCAATCTGCAGCATGCCGCCCGAGTGAGATCCAAGCCAATATCTCGAGGCGGGCTGTGGCCAATCCCAGGGGCCCGCAGCAGCTGGTCCATGGATGCTAGACAAATGCTTCGCCTCTAGTGCGGGATATTGGCCCAGAAGCGATGGATTGGGAGCCCGAAAAGGCCGTACCGTGCATGTGAGTAATCGTTTCTGGGTAGAGAGGGGAGCTTGAAGAAGAGAAGAAGATAAGGTGCAGAACAACGGCATGTGCTTGTATTCATCATATGACTGCAGCTATTGTCTTGAGACACTCGGTTGCGACTGGGCTGTCGTCAGCCTTGAGTGAATAGACAACTACCCATTATGCTGATTATTTACCCTTGAACAATAGCAGAGGTTGCTTAAAAGAGAACCTCACAAAGCACGCTCGCTCAAAGGAGTTAAAAACGTGCAAGTCGCCACCTCGTGGCCCGGAGCCGCGATTTAGTTCCAAGGAACCACCACCCCCCTCCTGGGCAACAGCCTTTCTGCCACATCCCGACAACTTGGGCCCTCGTCCTCTTCCCGTTATTTTTTAGTCTTGACTTATCTGCAAATGCTTCCCTTGGGTCAGCCAACTCGACTCTCCAACATAGAAGCCACTGAAGGTTCTGCCATCAGCGGCGCGTCTTCTACGCCAGTTCGACGCCACACAACGGACTTCTCAAGTCAACTTCGGCCGACGAACATTCTACCTGAATTGCAACACAAACACTCTCAACCCTCAGTTGGTCATGTACACATAGTAGTCAATCCATCTTATATCTGGCTCGCCGAATGTTCTTGGAAGACTATGTCTGCGCCTCCTTCGCCCGTCAACGCTTTTTCACCTTGCTCGGATAACCCGCTCACGCTGCAATCAACTTCGCTTTCTCGAACTGTCGGATTTCGCAATTTCTCATATCCATTTTCTCTCACTAGAAAGGCGGCTCTTGTTCCACAAACGTCGTTATCGCGAGACACTGCGCGAAACTCCATTGCAACTCCTCCGAACCAGACTTACCCACGTCTCATTGAAACCACTGTCCCAGCTCAAAGTCCACCATCGGCCACTCAGATATACGGCGGGTAGCACCCGGCATCTTCTGATGTGGATAGAAGTCCACTTTTGAACCGCTTCTTGTCGCGGAGTTCTTCAAGCAACCCAACTCCTGCCCAGCCATACTCGTCGCCAAGCACGGGCAGTCAGGGGCCCTCGCCAATCGGTGCGACGTTACCAAATTCAGACCAGCATTTCAAGAGATTTTCATCATCGCAGAGGTCATCTTTGGGGCAGCACGGCTCCATCCGCCATCAAGAGACAGGATCCACACCCCAAGAAGTCAAAGTCGATGGCCGGCCAGTATCTTTTTCCACAGACGCACCTCTAGAGAACCCCCTAGATTGGGCAGCTACGAGCGCAGCTTCTCGTAGTCCAAGATACAACCCGATCTTTCTCTTCCATTTCAAGCAAACCATCAAAATGTCTACCTCGACATCAGCTGCTAGAAGCTCCGGATCGAGATCTGGGGCCACATCGAACCAGTCTCGTGGGGAGTATGACCCTTCATTGAGCAGCGGGGATCCTCGATCCGAATACACCCTGTCCGACAAGAAGAGTCCCCGCTGGATGTCGCAAGTCAAGAATTGGCTGGCAACCAGCGAACCCTCAACCCAAGCGATGAAGGACCAGAAAAAGGACGCGTACAAAAAGCACGGCGTCCACTTAAAAGACCCGCAAGCCGCTGTAAAGATGCACTCTCCCATGGGAAAAGTGCCGCTGGATGCTATTACTTCCACGTCAGGCCCTACCCCCGAGAAGGTCCTCAAGGAAAAAGTTCGTGCAAAGGAGACACCGACATCAGGTGCTAGACATAGCCGCGGCTCACAGTCCATATCAAGCAGCTCCTCTTCGCTGCCGAGCGTGAAGAGCAGTAAAGTATGCAATATGATCGCGCCGTGGGAAGAGCAAGAATAGGAAGCTGGTGTTATCTTCCTACCTTCTTTCTCGAAAGCCTTTTTACGAACTTTACGAGCTTATGACTTGCGTTGACAGGATTTGCGGCCTATCGGCATGCTTTCATTTTATGATCATCTTCTTTTGCTACATTACATCGAGAGCTAGAACAGCCAATGACTTATTTGAGCTTTCGCGAGATGATGTCTTTACATACTATCTACATAGCCGAACGAGTTGTACATTAGTTCAATACCCCGTTTAGTTTTGCTTCTCTACAATACTCGTATATGGAATGATGGAAATAGAGTGCTACGTAGCTAGCTACAAGTCGAATTGACATCCCGACACAAGATTGATGGAACCGCAGTGTCACCTGAATCACCAGAACACGGCAATGCGATCCAATTACACAGATAAACATTTCAAAACCGACGCGTCATACACCAGAGCTGCCAAGCCCGTCTCAGAGCACAACATGTTCTAGCGACTGTATTATGCATCACATGATCGCGAGCCACCACATTCCGCGCTTCAAATCGCCAATCGCCATGCTGTAAGCAGCACAAAAGCTTCTTCTCCATGAATCCCCTCAGAGGCTAGATCGATCTGGTGTCAGTCCAATTGAAGAGTCCGGAGCAAAAGTCGCAAATGATGGGCGCGGCAGGATGGCGATTGGTGGATGCGGGTTGGATGGTGTCGGCAATATGACGTATGCACTTTTCTGGTCTTGCGACAAGTATGACATTTCTTTGACGATTGACAGACACTAATGGCACAAATGGGGGAGCTTGTATGGAGGCAAATTGAGCTTGTAGCTTAGCTTTTGTTATTTTCTCTTCCTTTTTTTTTTTTTTTTTTTTTTCACTTGAAGCTCTTAAATAATAAGAGCTCATGGGGTAGCTACTGCTTTCAGAACCCCCCATCACTCTTCTTCCTATCCATTGCTCACAATGCCGCTGTTTAAGAGCTCCAAAATGGACGACGAAGATGACCAAGACATTCGCCCAGAGGATCGGATTGACAATGTGGAAGGGGAACGGCCTCCAGACGAGTACACTCGGCTGCTGCCCAACCGCGTCAACTCCAACAGGGACTTCCTCGCCCCTGATGATCCTGCAGTATCGCCATACAACCTCTTCAGCATTCGCATGCTCCGCTATCTGACATTGTTTTTCACGGCACTGACGTTCTTGTGGTGGGTTATTCTGCTTGTGTCTGCATTTGCCACGGCTCCTGGGTTCCACACAAAGGGGAGCGGCTTCTTTGCGTTTGGCTATACGAGCTTGACGCTGTCCAACATGTTTTTCACCTTGCTATTCTTTGGGGTGCCTTCCAAAGCCGTGAGAATACTCGGAATTGTAATCGCCGTAAGTACTACTGTACAACTGCTGAATCCGACCAAGGATGAATACTAACGCGAAAGACGTGGGCGGTAGGCTATCCTTGCCCTCGATACGATTCTTCTCGCTTCAGTCCAAAAGACTAGGTACGAGGAGGGCTGGGTTGGAATTGTTAGCGTTATATGGGCACTCCTCATGAGCGTATGGGCTGTAATCGTGGACAGAACCGTCAAATGGGGCAAGGAAGAAGAAGAGGAGAGGTTGACCGGCCGCCCTGAAACGAGAAAATCGCTGTCGGAATGGCTCGAGGTCCTACTCTCGACCATTGGCTATTCTGTCATGGTCTTGGCCGTTGTCCTGATAACGCTAAGCATCATTCTTCGAGCTCTCGACGCGAGAGTTGCACCACCCGGAAAGCTGTACTGGGTCGACGACGACAAGTATCGTATCCACCTGTATTGCCATGGGAACAAGACGGATGAGAACGGCAAATCAGTCACAACGGTCCTCTTCGAGGGAGGCGAGTGGCCTGTCGAGTACGGCCTATGGGACTTTGCAGACAATGCGGTCAAGAACGGATCCATTTCTCGCTATTGCTTCGCAGACCGGCCAGGGCTGGCTTGGTCTGATACCGCCCCATCGCCGTCATCCGCTGGCTTTGTGGTGGACGCCTTGAGCGAGGCCCTGGCCAAAGCAGGAGAGGGAGGGCCCTGGGTTCTTGCTAGCGCGGGAATTGGCTCCCTGTACTCGCGAGTGTTTTCAGCCCGCCACAGTCACGATGTTCGGGGCCTATTGTTGATCGACCCCCTGCACGAAGATCTGCTGGGCCCCGGCGCAGCGCCAGGCCGAGGCTTCTGGCTGTGGTTGAGAGGCGCCATCTCGCCGCTTGGGCTGGACCGGATTCCGGGCGCATTGTTTCGAGGACGCTCGAGCCGCGACCGCATCTATGGACGATCATCTCCGCAGACTGGCAAGTTCATCTTCGCCAAGCTGCAGGAGAGTCTGGTGCTCAACTCCTTCACCAAGCGTGACGTCGACAGCAGCAGGCAGATCCAGGAAAAGGACACGCCGCTGGCTGTGATTAGCTCGGGGATCAAGATCAAGAACGACGACAATTGGGCGAGCAAGCAGAAGGACTTGACGGGGCTGACTGATAAGCTACTGCACTGGGATATCGTTGACGAGGCACCCCACGAAGTGTGGCGGACTCTGGAGGGGCGGGAAAAGATTGAGAAGAGGCTGAAAAAGATGGTCTAAAAATAAGTGGCCAGGGGGGGCTTGAAGGGAAAAAGGGCGAATACGGGAGTTTCCTGCGAGCACAGGTACTGTATACCTGGACGCAGGTACAGAGCAGCACAAAAATCTGCCTGACCGTACTAGCCCGTCCAAGGAGGCACCAATTGGTTGATTGATACCGCCATGTAGGACTTGATGTTGGCGTCTTATTGATGGAATTTTTTTTTGGTTGGGTTGTCGCTGGGGTGAAGAAGTGTGTGGAGAAGGCAACGAACAAATGAGTTCAGTTGCGGCGCAAACTTACTTGTACAGAGGCATGGCTTTCGAAAGTACCTAGTTGAATACCTACCTACCTTACCTTTGGATGAGAAACGCTTTATATTCCTCACGGAAGTGGTGTCCAGGCCCCGAGTTGAGGTGCAAGCTTGGTAGACAAAAATACAGGCTGTTTGCGACCCTGTCCGGCAGACACCAGTGCGGAGGCCCCCTGACAACAACCCGACAGGCATGGATCAATTCCATTACACGTACAGCCCAGCGCTGGGTGCTGCTGAAAAGGCGTACCGGTACCTGTACGGAGTAATATTTGCCTTTTTTAGACACCATGATGCATGCACTCGCGCTCATGGATACGAGGAAAAGGGTAATGCGGCATCTATAGTGCTTGTCCCATGTGTATGAACGAGACTTGCAGCTGCGGGATTTGGCGATGCGCATTTCTCCTTACCAAGGTACCTGGGCTGGTGCATGTGCCTAGACGTCATAGCAGCAAACCCGCCTCCTTTAAGAAATAAGCGCGCAAGGTTGTACATCAAACACTGCAGTGCCGTGCAGGTGCCGTGCCGCACCGCAGGAGGGAAAAAAAGGGAAAAATGATTGATGGCCCAAGCCTGGCATCCAGGGTTTGTAGCGGTGGTACAGGTAGGATACAGAGATGCAACAGAGACGGATTGAGGCTACTAAGCGGGTTGAAAAGACCGGACGAAGGTCTCTATGCAGCAACAGGTGCTGGATCTGACAATTAAGGAGCTGTGTGTTATGCAGCCATTGTTGAAACGAAGAAACGCGATACGGGGGAGCTCTTTGAAGCAACTGTGTCTCTGTGGAAACTAGGCCGTATTTATCAAACAGAGCGTAGTACTAGGTAGTCAGTGTGAACCCCTAAACCCGCCGATTCGACACTCCCCTGGCCCATGCCGTCTTGTTGCGATGTGTACGAGTACCTCCGTAGGTAGAATGGAAATACGCTCAATGAGAACAAACACAAAAGGGAATTTTTATGCTTACCTTACCACCTTATGCTCAAACCTAGAGCAAGGGCTGGTGGAACGGGCCGGCTTTGCCCATCTTTAAACCGGGCTGATCTCGGCTATAATTCGACTCCGTAGTGGTAAATTGTAATGAATATCGAAATCAAACCAACAACGGGAGCGCTTGGCCTGATTTTCTAACGCCTCTGAAACGGCTCGCCGAATACCGCAATGTTTCGTAAACTTTCGTATAGATAGTTTCGCGTTGAGCGTTGGCTTATCGGATTCCTTTATGGATTGTGTCCTTGTAGATATTTGCTTTCTACCTACCTAGTAAGGTAGATATGGTAGGGTGAAGATTGTCTGACACGGATGATCTCTGCTGCGGTATAAGTACAGGTACTCAATAGTTGACAGATACCTGGGTACAGGGATCAACACTGACAGATGCAACGAACAAAAATAGAAGCCACAGAACAAGTACCGAAAGAATACTTCCGATCTCCAAGGTACCTTACGTGGTATGCATGTACTTGAATGTGGCGTTGGCAAGATTTCGGATAGGGAGCTAAGCTTTTCGACTCTGCATTTCCTCTTCTGGCTCTCTTCATGTCCCTGGTACCAGGAGATATGAGCACGAGACACGCCGGAAACTTTATATAATTGTTTAGAATCGAGGCTTCTTGACCAACCAGTTGGCGGCGTCCTCCTGATGAATGGAATCATCTAGGGGTGTACCTGGTATAAGCCCACTACTGCTCCTGGGATACCACATACAGGTAGCGGCACAGCTCTAGATAGCACTAACCCAGCCTTGCGTACATTAGCTCCAGCACTACGAAGCACTTCACAGGTATCCTGTGACGGAAAAGACTTCAATTCACCTTACTCATCCGGCCCCCAGGGATGGTGCTGGCAAAAGTGCAGTCCATGCTCCGGGCTTCCACACGCGAGCTGGAATAGACATGTGGCGCAGTTTGAGCAAACTGAGACGAAGTGCGCCTCGTTTGGGAGGGGGAATAAGGTGCTGAGCTCTCAGCAACTGACTGCCCTGTAGTATTAAAGCGTCATAACGCTCATCGTGTTGCTGCTTGAAGAAGCGTAGGACTTGGCAGCTCTAAAAGTAAACAGTACATGCCGGGCG